TCTCATTACTTCATTTCAGACACTAGAAGACAAATCAATGACCAAAAGGTTGATGAATTATTTATTAAAAGCAGAATTATTGGGTAACACTAACCACGAAGAAGAAGCGAAAAAAATGTTCTATAATCGTTTGTTTTGAAAGAATTCAAACGGGAACCGCAACTTTATCAAGAAATACGAGAACAAAAATGTTACCTTATGTACTGATAAACATAAAAATGTAAAATAGTGCTCAATAGAATTCATTGCGAGTGAATGAGTGTACTATAGATATCGAGAGCGATAAATTTCTGACGGGAAAAACCCGTCAGAGATGATAAGCGAAACAAAATCGCGACGATTGTATGAGCGATAATTGTACATGCGACAGTGAAGATATAACGCAAGAGAGAAATTATATTAATCTTGCAATGAATTTTAATCCAAAAACGATATGTATACGACTGATTAAATGTGAACATATGAAGCTGGCAGTGTAATATATAAAAAATACGCTAAAATAATTTTTTCATATGATAAATGCCATAGCATATATATTATTTTATTGCTACATTTTATGAATGCTCAATTGCTTTTTTAAAATTATTATAGCTTTTTCGAAATGAGTTTGATAAATACGAAAAATAAATCATAAAAATATATAATGTTAAAAGAATATATGAATGTGTAACAATTGTTATTTTTAATTATTACCTCGAAATTTTAGATTTTTAAATTTTAGACTTACGTATTTTGTCCTATTATTAATACACAATCCTTGACCTTATCAATACTTTTTATTTATTATTTTTTAATTTTTATTTCACTTACGGATTAGACTTCCTCTTTTCTTTATTATAAAAATACAAATCACGAAATATATGTAACTTACATATGAATTCACATAGCTTATCTTTTCCTAAATAGAATCTAGATAGAACATTTCCTTTTAAATTACATTATAAATTCTATTATTAATTTACAGACGAGATCGGAGACATAATATATGAAAGAAGATAAATTGAATGAATTTTATTAATTCAATATACATCGATAGTTTGCCAAATTCAATTAAAAACTTATATGTTTTTAATAAAATAAAATACGAAATTAATTGAATAAAATATGAAATTAGTTTTCAAGAAATATAAAAATTTGATATGTCATTTATATGCTTGCAATTTTGCATGAGTCGAACCATCTCTTTACTGCCGCGCACCAGGAGGATTATTTGTATATTTGCCAATGGCGTTGGTAGGGTGTCATCGCTGTAGTCCGACCTACATCCATCGAGTGAGAGATCAACATCGCTCTGGAGTGGGAATTCGAAGAATATACACACATATATATGTATATTGTAATATATGTATATGTGTGTATATAATTGTATTGTTGATGTGTTGTTCTAAACACGTTATTGCGATAAATATCATCACATGCCTCAGTAGTCGAAAGGATAAGATGCCTGCCCGGTAAGCAGAGGAGATCCAGGTTCGATTCCTGGCTGAGGTGGTATTTTTTCGCAAAATAATTACGAGTTTTCATAGTTCCTAATAACATGCAAAGAAACATTCCAAATAGGAACATTCCAAATAGGGATATTCCAAATAGGAACAATCAGGAAAATGCACACTCTCCACCGTCTCAATGCAATGGAAATCGCCGATGAGACCAAGAATCCGATCATACGGATATAATTATATTCTTCTTATTTTTATTCTTATAAGAATCTCAAATAAGAAGGAAGGCTGTGCGTCACGGCAGAGCCAGACCACGAACCAGTGATGAAAACTCGTATTTTATTTTGCGAAGAGAAATATCACCTCAGCCAAGAATCGAACCTGGATCTCTTGCTTACCAAGCAGGCATCTTATCCTTTCAACTACCGAGGCAACTGATGATATTTGTCGTAAATAACGTGTTTAGAATAACACGTCAACAATACAATGATACACATATATACATATATCACAATATACATATATACATGTATTCTCTCGAATCTCCACGATCGGTACTCCAGAGATGATTCGCTTTTGCTGATTATAATTCAACTATTGTATTCAAATTTTTTAAAATTTATAATCTGTTTTGTTAGCTGTTATTCACATATACAAATAGAAATACGAACTAACTTGATCTTCAAACAAAATGGATTTCAATCGAGGATTCACATGTATTTGTAATCGCGTAAGCGAGTGCTGTGTCTCAATTAGATTAATCCAAAGGATCTGATCGCGACATAGCGATAGAAGGGAATAGGAGTGGAAATTCTTCATAATGAGACGATCGTTGCTCGCGCAACGAATCGCTTGCACGGCGACTTATCGGTAGGATCCGCTCCCGGAAGGTGTGGCCCGATTAATGGATTTCACGTCGCTCGTATAAGTAATAAATAAATGCGTCCTGGATCGGTACGAGCCTTCTCGCCCCCGTACGGCCAACGTTTATTATCCTGTCGCGAATTAGCGGCGCCGGCGCGAGTGATCGACCTCGATACGTCCTATCGGGGATATACGGACTATCACGATCGATCGATCCTCCGTGACGCGCGCGTGGTTCGTGTTAAAAGAGAGACGAGCTAAATCGCCGATGAGCCATGCTCGGTCGTTAACGCTAATGACACGTTTTTCCCTCGCCTGTTTATCGCACGGACGATACATATATATCAAGGGATTTAGCCTAAGTCGATTCTCCGCGCGATTCCTCTGCAACTGAGTGATTTTGTCGCATTCGGCGACTATTGCAATATTTTCGTCGTAAACTACGTATTCACGTCGGGATAGCTCTCAGGTATCGCAATTACCATTTGACTTATGACGTTCAATGTATCATAATATTATCTCTTGAAAATATTTTACCTCCAAATTAAACTTTTATTACTTTCTGAATTAAATTTGAATAATTTGTATAACTTTCGATTTATTTTATTAGTAATTAAGATAAAATCTCTCTCCTTCTCTCCTCGACAAAATGGTCGAATTTTAGTTTTGAGAAACGCCGTATGTATATATGTCTTCTTTAATCGTTTTCACGAAAGTATTTGGTTGCCCCACTTTCATTCAATAGAATCTACAAGGTGGTTCCAAATGTTTGATTGTGACCAATATAAAGTAAAATTTTAAAAAATAAAGTAAAAGTAAATATATCCAAGCAAATTTTCATTCGTAACGAAAAATCAAAGATACAATCACTTTTTTATTCAGATATGCATAGAGATATATACTGATTTAAGCTATTCCTCTAAAAATAAACTTTTTAATTATTTATTAAATTCTGTTTTTCAGAAATTTTCACCATTTAAAATAAAAATGATCCGAACTGTATAAATTTCATTTAAAAAATTTCAACACTTACAATATTATTAAACTGAATTATTGTGTTTTTTAATGAATACTAAAAATTTTTTAATTAAAAAGAAAAAAGTAAATAATTCTATATTTAAACTATTTTTTTAAATATTTAGGAATACTAGAATCGATATAACCTCAAGTATCTAAAAACTCTACGCATATTATAACAACCTTAATTATTGATTGATTTCGAAGCAAAAATCATGCTCTCATTTACAAGATTTATTTATATTAATTGGGCGCTTTAAGACCCTGTAGACCTCTGGCCAAGTTTTAATCGCTCCGGTGCGGATCACGGCAAAACAGTCTTACTCGCGTTTTACTCGCCACTCATCACGTGACTAGCGAACGATCACGTTGCATTTGCGATTTCACCGAATGCTTCGCTCGTGCGACCACTGCCGAATCATCTCGCTTATAAATTCCGTCAACATGCTCATCTCTCACTTTCGATAATAACAACAAAGACATTATGAATTACTGTCTTACTAGTTGTTTGTTGCTCAATTATCCAATTTCGCGATTGAAAACAGTTTCTTGAAACGTTATGATTATAAGCGAGTCGTCGAATAAATACCAAAGTCTTTGAGAAAACTTCAGTAGTACAGAAGAGAACTCGGCATTGTGAGCTGTCATTCATACTAATCCTTAATAATCCTCATACGAAGAGCCGTAAGATCGGAGAGTAGCATCTCGTACTTCTTGTGTTTAAATTACGACTACAAACTTAATTTACAATACTTGCACATTTATTTTGAGTGCACAATAATTGCACTGGATTAATGATTGTACAATACAATCTTTTTACTTTACGTATTTGTTACCGTGTTTGAGCACCTTATCGAGTTTTAGTCGCCACGGTGCGGCCCACGGCAAAATGGCCTTTCTCGCGTTTTTTTCGCGAAGGCGCCACCGTAATTTTGTCACGAGGTGGCGAACGAGGTTAAATTACATTTACGATTTTATCGAATGCTTCTCTCGTACCATCGCTGTCGAATCTTCTCCCTTGTAAATTCCGTCAACATTCTCTAACTTTCGATAATAACGACAGAAGCATCACGAATTACTGTATTTCTGCACTTACTGTAGTTTCTATTACTGTAGTTTCTCTATTTATTTCTTATCCAACGCGATTGTAAAGATAGTGTCTTGGAGTGCTTTGATTATAAGCAAGATAATAATATATCTATAAAACAAAATTAAGATCAAAAAATAGAATATCGTGATAGAGGGAGACAAGATTAAAATGGGGAAAAGTAAATTGTTTGTACCCGATCGTCGAATATAAAAAATAAAATTCAGATACAAAGATAAAATTCAAAGATAAAATTCAGTACAACAGTACAGGACAGCATTTTAAGCTATCACTCCCGCTAGTCTTAATACTCCTGATGCGAAGAGCCATAAGATCGAACGGTAACACCTCGTACTACTTCATAATTATTTATATTTTATAAAGAAGAAAAGAGACGTGATAAATAAGAAAGCATTTAACATATCTTTTCGGTTTATAAAATGTTTCTTCTCGTTATTCGTTTTAAAAAATATATTTTAGTAGTTGCGAATTTCTCACATTAAATCCTTGTTAACATAGTATCGGGTCACTTATTAAAATCACCAATTTACATAGATTCAAGCATTCGATTTAAAAATTTCCAAATAACGGTGCGCAATGGAGATGCCTGAGGAATACGTCAAAGCAAATGCCATGCCACGTCGCGATGTCCTGGACATTATCGAGGAATTTAGTTCTGAACTATCGCAGATACAAGATAAATGTATCGATATAGGATCCGGTCCTGGTGACATTACCAAGGATTTGTTATTGCCTTTATTGCCGCACGACGTCGAGGTAGTAGATACGTGAATAAATGAAAATTTGGCGGTACATGGTTCCTTTCGATGATGACCTAGTGTACCTCATATTTTACAGGCGCGGACATATCACAAGCGATGGTAAATTACGCCCGTAAGAATAACAGTAATGAACGACTATCCTACATCGTCTTGGATATCGAAGGAAAAATGCCAAATGAGCAAATCGGACAATATGACTATGCTATGTCCTTTTATTGTCTGCATTGGCCTTACGATTTAAGGTACATTTGATATTTCCTTTACCAGATATTGAATCAATTGAAGAAGAAAAGCTTTCAGAAAAAACATTGACAATTTTTCTAATCAATTTTGATATTTACTAGAAAGAGATTGTACGAAAATATTTGCATCTAAGTTAATATGTATTTAATTAAAATTAAGAAAACATACATCGCGTATAATTTTTCTAATTAAAAAATTGTTAAATTTCTAGTCGTGCTTTCGAAAATATATTCAAATTGTTACGTCCGAATGAAAAAGCGCTTGTGATGTTTCTTGGTTCTCATTGCTTATTCGAGGCGAACGTACGTCTTAGCCAGAATCCAAGATATGAATTTTATCTTCAGGTACTATAATTACGCATTAAACATACGCATTAATACACGATGATATTAAAATTAAATATTCTCCTTTTTAAGGATGCGCATCGTTACGTGTCATATTTCCAAAGAAAGATGTGCAAAAATATGCGAGCCAGTTTGCGAAAAATGTTGGAAGATATCGGCTTTGAAATCTTACATTGCAGCAAAAGAGAAAAAAGTTCATCAATACAACAATCAGCAAAGTTTAAAAAGTAATTATATTAATAAATATTATTCTGAAATTAGTATTTATTAAAATATTATTAAATAGTAATATTGAAATAATATTATATAATAAAACAAATTATTAGTCATCATAGAGAATACGTAAGCATGACTTAAATCAAAATAAAATTAATTAAAGTTTAAATCAAATTCTCTATTTCTTTAGCTGAAAAGTTTTTAAATAACATATTTGTTTTTACAGATCAAATATTACCCGTTAATCCTTTTTTAACTCGAATGCCAGATGATATAAAAGGTGAATTCATGGACAATCTGATAAGCGAAATATTGAGCCAGGACACAGTTTCGACACCGTTTGAAAGCAAAAACAACGAATTAATATTAAAATACTATCTCCTAATAGCGCATGTAAAAAAACCGCAATCAGCCACTTAAGTGCGAAAAATATATCTCTATATAGAAGGTGCAAAATTAACAAAGTTATTTTTATCTTATTTCATATATTGTTTAACATAAAATAATTAGAATATGAAATATTATAATATTTTAATGCAATATCCATTATTGCAAAATAAATAAATGAAAGATACTAAGTAATAAAAAATGTGTCAAGTTATATTCGATATTTCCTTCAACACAATCTTGCATTCAAGCGAACATCCGTCCGAAAAGAGTGACAAAAGAAGAAAAAAATACGTCAACTAACTTGCTCATTACAATACTAAATTTTATGTGTATTTTTTACGTTATATCTTTGACTTACCATAGTACAGCCACTTATAGAGTATCTTTATTATAACATACAAGAATGGGTATCTTTATTATAACATACGGATACAAGAATGGATATTACGATATCGATATTATCGCAGTGTAATGAAATGTACAATTACTATAATGAAAAAGAGGAAAAAAATCTATCAACGAGAAACAGAGAGAGGGAGAGAGAGAGAGAGAGAGAGAGAGAGAGAGAGAGAGAGAGAGGAAGGGGAGAGATCAAAGAGGAAGAAAGTCCCCCAATTGTCCTTTTTTTTCTCCAAAATATAGCGATGATAGGGAAATTATTTTTGCTACAGATAGTTGTCTCCGTTCCAACAATGCATTTCTCATTCTTTACCTTCCTATACAGTCTCTCTCTCTACCTTACCTCATTCATTCATTTCATTTTGAATAAATAGAGAACGTGGTCTCTAGTAATATGCCAAACGATTGCTGACATTCGGTGGAACATTAAACAAAGTCAAAAGGAAAATAGATTTGCAAGCAAGTCATATTCTTGAATTCTATACCGAATTTTTATTTTTTTAATTATTAAATTCAAAGTCTTTAATAATCTATCAAACTTTACGCTACAAAAAGATTAATTAATATATACCATCTACCATGTTTAAATATAAAAAAATTAAAAGAAGTTTTCAGAAAAAATCAGATTATTTTTTTTACATTGAATTAATTTTCACAATATTACTTTATATCTTGTGTTTAATAAATTACGACTACAAACTTAATTTACAATACTTGCAAATTTATTTTGGGTGCACAATAATTGCACTGGATTAATGATTGTAATACAATCATTTTACTTTACGTATTTGTTACCGTGTTTGAGTACCTTATCGAGTTTTAATCGCCACGATGCGGCCCACGGCAAAATGGCCTTCCTCGCGTTTTTTTCGCGAAGGCGCCACCGTAACTTTGTCACGAGGTGGCGAACAATTAAATTACATTTTACCGAATGCTTCTCTCGTACGATCGCTGTCGAATCTTCTCCCTTGTAAATTCCGTCAACATTCTCTAACTTTCGATAATAATGACAGAAGCATCACGAATTACTGTATTAATTTCTCTATTTATTTTTTATCCAACGCGATTGTAAAGATAGTGTCTTGGAGTGCTTTGATTATAAGCAAGATAATAATATATCTACGAAACAAAATTAAGATCAAAAAATAGAATATCGTGATAGAGGGAGACAAGATTAAAATGGGAAAAAGTAAATTGTTTGTACCCGGTCGTCGAATATAAATACCAAAGATAAAATTCAGTACAGCAGTACAGGACAGCATTTTAAGCTGTCACGCTAGTCTTAATACTCCTGATGTGAAGAGAGACCATAAGATCGAACGGTAACATCTCATATTATTTCATAACTATTTATATTTTATAAAGAAGAAAAGAGACGTGGTAAATAAGAAAGCATTTAACATATCTTTTTGGTTTATAAAATGTTTCTTCTCGTTATTCGTTTTAAAAAATAAATTTTAGTAGTTGCGAATTTCTCACATTAAGTCCTTGTTAGCATAGTATCGGGTCGCTTATTAAAATCACCAATTTACATAGATTCAAGCATTCGATTTAAAAATTTCCAAATAACGGTGCGCAATGGAGATGCCTGAGAAATACGTCAAAGCAAATGCCATGCCACGTCGCGATGTCCTGGACATTATCGAGGAATTTAGTCCTGAACTATCGCAGATACAAGATAAATGTATCGATATAGGATCCGGTTCTGGTGACATTACCAAGGATTTGTTATTGCCTTTATTGCCGCATGACGTCGAGGTAGTAGGTACGTGAATAAATGAAAATTTGGCGGTACATGGTTCCTTTCGATGATGACCTAGTGTACCTCATATTTTACAGGCGCGGATATATCACAAGCGATGGTAAATTACGCCCGTAAGAATAACAGTAAGGAACGACTATCATACATCGTCCTGGATATCGAAGGAAAAATGCCAAATGAGCAAATCGGACAATACGACTGTGTTACGTCCTTTTATTGTCTGCATTGGCCTTACGATTTAAGGTACATTTGATATTTCCTTTGCTAGATAACAATTGAGGAAGAGAAGCTTTCAGAAATAAAATTGACAATTTTTCTAATCAATTTTATTATGTTGTTTATTATGATGTTTATTAAAAAGAGGTTGCACGAAAATATTTGCATAAATATGTTAATACGTATTCAATTAAGATTAAAAAAACATGCTTCTCGTATAATTATTCTAAGTAAGAAGTTGTGTTAAATTTTTAGTCATGCTTTCGAAAATATATTCAAATTGTTACGACCGAATGGAAAAGGGCTTGTAATGTTCCTTGGCTATCATTGCTTATTCGAGGCGTACATGCGTATTAGCCAGAATCCAAGATATGAATTTTATCTTCAGGTACCACAATTACGCATTAAACATAAAATTAATACATGATAATATTAAAATTAAATGTTCTCCTTTTTAAGGATGCGCATCGTTACGTACCGCATTTCCAAAGAAAAATGTGCAAAAATATGAGAGCCAGTTTGCGCGAAATGTTGGAAGATATCGGCTTTGAAATTCTGCATTGTAGTAAGAGAGAAAACAGTTATCAATACAACAATCAAAGTTTTAGAGGTAATTGTATTAATGAATATTATTCCAAAATTAATAATTAATAAAATATTATTAAATATTATTAAATAGAATAGTAAAACAATATTATATAATAAAACGAATTATTAGTCATCATAGGAAATGCATAAGCATTTCATTCAATCATAATAAAATTAATTAACTATTAGTCTAAATAAAATTTCTTACTTCCTTAAGTGAATAGTTTTTAAATATCATATTTGTTTTTACAGATTATATAATATCTGTTAATCCATTTATAAATCAAATACCAGATGACATGAAAGATGAATTTATGGACAATCTGATAAGCGAAATATTGAACCAAGATGTTTCGACACCGTTTTCAAACAAAAATGACGAATTAATATTGAAATATTATCTCCTAATAGCATATGTAAAAAAACCGCAATCGGCCACTTAAGTGCGAAAAATATACTTCTATATGATACAGACGGTACAAAATTAACAAAGATATTTATATCTTATTTGATATATTGATAAAATAATTAGAATATAAAATATTACAATATTTTAATCCGATATCTATTACTGCTTTGCAAAATAAAAGATATTAAACAATAAAAAAAGTATCAAGTTATATTCAATATCTCTCTCAATAAAATTTTATATCCGGGGCAAACGTCCGCCTAATAAAAGAGTGACAAAAGAATAAATATGTCACTTTTTGATCAGCTTGCCTTCTACATCACTAAACTTTAGGTTTATTTTTGTACGCCATATTTTTAATTTTATAATAGCGCAGCCATTTAAAGAGTGTTATTATAACTTACGGATTATACATCATACGGATACAAGAGTAGACATTACGATATCGATATTCGTAGTGTAATGACATTCGTAGTGTAATGACATGCCCAATTATTATAACGAGAGAGAGAAAGAGTCTATTAACAAAAGAGAAAATAAAAAAGAAAGGGAGAAAGAATTCCTTATCCTTTTTTCTCCAAAATATAGTGATGGTGAATAAATTACTTTTGCTACAGATAGTTATGTCCGACAATGCATTTCTTGTTCTCCATCTTCCTATACATACTTTCTCTACTTTAGTCCATTTCATTTTGCATAGATAGAGAACGTTGTCTCTGATAATATGTTAAACGACTGCTGACATCTGATGGAACTCACAATAAACAAAATGAAAAAGAGAATGGCAAATTTGCATGCAGGCAAGCAAGTCGTTTTCTCGAATTCTGTACCGAATATTTTTTTAATTTACCGGATGTCTTAAAGTAATCCAACCTCTCATTCAAAATTACAAATGATAAAACCTTATCAAAACAAAATTAAATATACGGCTCAGTTAATCCTGTAACAAAAAAAATTTTAAGTCTTTAATAACCTGTCAAACATAACGCTACAAAAAAATTAGTTAATATATATCATCTTTACTGTTTAAATTAAAAAAGAAGTAAAAGAAGTATAAATCAGATTACATTTTTTTCATTGAATTAATTTTCACAATATTATTTTATAACTTGTGTTCAATAAATTACGACTACAAATTTAATTTACAATACTTGCAATTTATCTTGGGTGCACAATAATTATATTGATTTAATTACTGTAATACAATCATTATTTGTTATCGCGTTTGAGCACCTTATCGAGTTTTAGTCGCCCCGGTGCGACCCACAGTAAAATGGTTTTATTCGCATTTTTTTCGTGACGTCGCAATCGTGATTTGTCATATGGTGGGTGATGAACGATTACGTTGCATTTGCGATTTCATCGAAATTTGCTTCTCTCGTGCAATATCTGCCGAATCTTCTCTTATAAATTCCGTCAACATTCTCACCTCTTACTTTCGATAGTAATAACAGAAGTATTACGAATTATTGTTTCGCTAGTTATAATTTCGCTAATTATTTGTTGTCCAATGTGAAGAAAAAGATAGCTTCTTGAAGTCCTTCAATTATAAGCGAGGAAATAGCAATAAATCTACATAATAGGTTTGAGGTATATACAAAAAAATAGAAAGAGACAAGACTAAAATGGGAGAAAAAAAAGTTATTTCTAATAAGTTACTATCGTTACCGAATATAAATACCAAAGACGAAGATAAAAATTCAGCAGTACGGACCCGGTATTGTGAGCTGTTATACTAACCTTAATACTTCTGATACAAAGAACCGTACGATCGAACGCCGTACGGTAACACTTCGTACTACTTCATAACTAACATTTTACAAAGAAGAAAAAGAAAAGTAGTAAATAAGAAATTATTTAACATATTCGTTTTATATAATGTTCCTTCTCGTTATTCATTTTAAAAAGTAATTTTTAGTAGTTGCGAGTTTCTTGCAACAAGTCTTTGTTAGTATAGTATCGGATCGTTTATTAGAATCACCAATTTACATAGATTCAAGCATTCGATTTTCAAATTTAACAAAATATTCAAATAACGTCAGAGGTGCGCGATGGAGATGGCTGAAGAATATGCCAAAGCAAATGTTTTATCACGTCGTGATGGCCAAGACATTATCGAGGAATTTAAGATACAAAATAAATGTCTCGACATAGGATCCGATTCTGGTAACGTTACCAAGGACTTCTTATTCCCTCTATTGCCGCACGACGTCGAGATAATAGGTACGCGAATAAATGAAAATTTGGAGGTACATGATTCCTATCGACGATGATCTCGTTGACCTCATGTTTTACAGGGTCGGATATATCGCAATCAATGGTAAATTACGCCCGTAAGAATAACAGTAATGAACGACTATCGTACATCGTGGATATCGAAGGAAAAATGCCAAATGAGCAAATCGGACAATACGACTGTGTTACGTCCTTTTATTGCCTACGTTGGACTTACGATTTAAGATACTTTTGATATTTTTTTGCTAGATAACAAGTGAAGGAAAAAAGCTTTCATAAAGTGACAATTTTTTATAATTAATTTTAATGATTACTAGAAAAAAGTTGCATAAAAATATTTGCGTATATATTAATAAGTATTAATAAGTATTATAAATAATTAAGGTTTAAAAAACATGCTTCCAGTGTAATTTTTCTAATTAAGATTTTTCTAATTAAGAAGTTGTCAAATTTTTAGGCGCGCTTTCGAAAATATATTCAAATTGTTACGAATGGAAAAGCGCTTGTGTCATTTGTTGGTTCTCATTGCCTATTCGAGGCGTACATACGTCTTAGCCAAAAATCCAAAATACGAACTTTATCTTCAGGTGTTACAGTAACGCATTTAACATATGAATTAACACAATACATAATAATATTAAAAGTAAATATTCTCATCTTTAAGGACGCGCATCGTTACATGTCGTATTTCTAAAGAAAGGTGTGCAAAAATATGAGAGTTGCGAAAAATGTTGGAAGACAGGTTTTGAAATCTTACATTGCAGCAAAAGAGAAAGAAATTATCAATACAGTAATCAGAAAATTTTAAAAAGTAATTATATTAATAAATATTATTCTAAAATTAGTAATTATTAAAATATTAAATAGTAATATTAAAATAATATTATGTAATAAAACAAATTATTGGTCATCATAGAGAATCCGTAAGCATGATTTAAATCATGATAAAATTAATTAACGTCTAAATAAAATTCCCTATTTCCTTAATTAAATTGTTTTTAAATATCATATTTGTTTTTACAGGTCAAATGTCAAAAGTTAATCCTTTTATAAATCGAATGCCAGATGATATGAAAGATGAATTCATGGACAACCTGATAAGCGAAATATTGAGCCAGGACGTTTCGATATCGTTTGAAAACAAAAATGACGAATTAATATTGAAATACTGTCTCTTAATAGCATATGTAAAAAAACCGCGGTCATTTAAGTGCGAACAATATATCCCTACATAGAAGATAATATAAAATTAACAGAATTATTTCTATATTATTTGATATAAGATATTGAGACAAAATATACTGACAAGTAGAATATTATATTTTATAATATAGAATATTATAGAATTATATAGAATTATATAGAATAATATAGAATTTTATAATATAGAATATTATATTTTTAAAATAGAATATTGTAATTTATAATATTTTAATGCAATGTCGATTATTGCTTTGCAAAATAAATAAATAAGAGACATTAAATAATAAAAAAATGTATCAAGTTATATTTGATATCTCCTTAACAAAATCTTACGTTCGGGGCAAATATTAGCCCGAAAAATGGGACAAAAGAAAAAAAAATTAAACACATTGTCTTTTAACCAACCGGATTATATATTGTATGGATACAAGAGTGGGCATTACAGTATCAATATTAGCGCAGTGTAATGAAATACACAAGTACTATGACGACAAAGAGAAAAAGAGTCTGTCAACGAAAGAGAGAGAGAGAGAGAGAGAGAGAGAGAGAGAGAGAGAAGAGAGAGAGGAGGGGAGAGAGAGAGAGAGAGAGAGAGAGG